TTTATTAATTAATTTTTTATTAAATATTTGTATTTTTTACTTTACTTTTAGGGGCTTCGCGGAAATATTAGGGATCTAAACAGACCCCTGATATTTCCCTTTTAAAATAGAAATTGAGAACACAGAGTCCTCAATCTCTTTTTCTGTATCCCCTGTTATCAAAGAACAGGAATCCTCTATGAGTGTTCCTGTTCATTGATAGCTTGAGAACAGACTATGTTTACTATAACCACAATTATGAATGAACAGGAGGGGATGTAGATCACTCCCATTCATTCATAATTGAGGATATATTAAACATACTCTGGTTGGTTAACCATGCAGTTATACATGCAGTTAGGAATAGATCACAGCCTCCGCTTCTAAATGGCATATTTGGGATTCCTGCCACAGGGGTCTCAAAACACACCTTAACATTAGGTGTGAATGAAGCATAAGACAGCTAAGCATATTCTTCTCACTGCACAAAGGGGGATCTGTGACTAGATGATCCCGAGCTGACTTCACCCTTCTATACTGGAAACCTCACAGTTTAGTTTCCCAAATCCCCCCCCCCCCCCCCTAATGGGGACCTCTCCTACCCCAGGCCCCATAGCAGCCACATGGACTGCTATGGCTATTGTTACACCACTGTATGCCAGCATAAGACATAACAATGAGAGTTTCAGAGAGTGTCTTTGGGTACAGCAGCATACTAAATGGAGAGGTGGTTTTTGTGAAATTAGTTTAGAGATACACAGCAATCAACAACAGCAGGCCTGGATCTACAGAACAAGGCAGGAAGCATCGGGGCATTTATTTCCTAAAGTGGCTGTCACAATTGTGCTGGCCACAATGAGGGGAATTTATCAAAACGGTGTGTTTTCAAAGTACCACAATGCTGCTCATGTTAAGAAACATTAGGCAATGTATCAGTGTCTGAATGTATGACAGTGGCAAAAAGCAAACAAAGATAAATAGCTATTTATAGTTTATAGGGAATATCCGATTGCCTTATGGAGACATGAAGTAATGTTTTTCCCTTGTTGGAGCAAATTGAACCATGCTTTATAGGAGTTTTTTGCTTTCCTCTGGATCAAATGTGGGTAACTAAGGGCAAAGCGTTCTGCTTTAGATTTTTTTGTTTTTCTTTTTCTTATCTCTATAGGTTGAACTCAATGGACTTGTATTTTTTTTTTCAATCTGACTAACTATGTAACTATATAGTTCTCTAAATATTGCATGATGACTGTGCTTCACTGCTCCTCCCACTCGTTGAAAGTCTATGGGTCAGGTCTAACCTAACTGAAAACAAAAGACTCTCTATACGATTAGATAAGATTATCTCAAGTCCTTAAAGCTGAACTCCAGGCACAGACATTTATATTTAAATATATTCCTCGATAGCCACAAAGCATATACAGTAAACTCCTAGTTATCCCGGACACATCGTGATCAGTAGATGCCAGATAACTGTAGTTTCTAGTTGCTTGAGTTTCTGGTTGCTATTAACTAGATTCCGCAGCCAGCAGGTGAATGTGGACATCGGGCAGATATGGCACATTTACATGCAACTCAAAAGTGTGCATGGGGACTCAATGATGATGATGTATTATTTGTGGTCTGTCATGTGATACTCACCAAACACTTTCTAGACAGGATCCATTCTGTAGCCAGTATCAGTGAAGATCATGCAGACTAGCAGTAAACAGATAACTTCCTAGAAGAAGACAAAGTACAGAAAATATAAGAATGACTGCTTTTTATGAACCCTGTGGGGTCAATTATGGGAATTGTTAAAGAAAATGTAAACACAACACAGTCCAAACCACAACAGTCAGGTGTTTTGTTGACTTCAAACACATTTCATAGGCTGCTCCAGCCAACACCCCTTTGCTACACATAAACCCATAAAACCGTTCTAATAAATTCTCTCAGATGATCTTCAATATTGTCAGGACATCTGTCTGATAAGCACACGTCTGCACATACACAGCTTCACCTAGATGTTCTATCAAATCATAAAGCTGCAATATACATTGGGGGTTGCCCATGGCAACCAATAAGCTTCTATCTTTCATTTTCAAAGCTTAAGATAGTATTAAACTATCAAACATTTTTTTTTAATAATAGATCCCGATCAAGCAAATATACATTGCCCAGCAAAGTATTTCTTTATGTTTCTGCCCAAACACTTCCAGTCATCATGTTTCCAAAGAGCTGCAACTCTCTCAGCTCTGCTTCCCTGAACTTCTTGTTCAGTAGGCGATCACAAGGTAAAGAGCTGTCTCCAGCAGCTGTCCATCAACTAGCATGGACAAGGAAGGCAGAGTGGGGAGTAGGAATCAGGGGAGTGTCTTGCTTTGCTGTGTCTGTTGTGGCAGTGCGTGGCAATGCCATTCAAGATGCTGGCAATGCAGACACCCAGGACTCTCAGCCCGGGGGGGTTGAGCAGTTCCAGGAGGCAAGTTCCTGTACTGGGAAAAAGCTGACTTTTCGGTTCTTCCCAGGATTTCTGGATTTGGCATGGGATCCTGGAACTGGGAGATTTATAAGAGAATTAGGTGGGCTGAAATCTCCATTCCCGCGTCCATTGTTTAGTTTTGGCACCTAATTGCACACCTGTGCACAGCACTTATGGGAAGGGTGCTGGCAAATGTTCTGGGCTCCAGCTGGGAAAAGGAACAGAGGTGTTCAGGAGTCAGGAAGACTCCTCCCAGAAGGCAGAGGGGAGCCAAGTGGCTGTGTGTGCTAGAGGCGCAGGAAGACAGCCGAGGAGGCTGAGAGAGCCATTTACACATGGAGCACGTGTGACAACCTGGAGTCGGTGAGACTATGTGTTCTGTTTGCTCGCATACAAACGGACCGTGTATTATTGTTGAAGAAGTTATGTTTCTGCTTTGGAAGCAATAAAATACTGTTTTGTTTTATGCTAAAGTGGCTTCAAGACTGGTCTTTGAGCACTCACCATTTGTACTATATACCCCAAACCTCACACTGTGTGTTTGTGGAGACACACACAGCTTACTAGCACACACAAGGTAGGCTCCATAGGACCCTGCAAGGGAAGTGGCCACCCTAAAACAGGATATCAGGTCTAGGTCTCAGGGGACCAGCTGATTCTGCAGGAAACTAAAATGTTTAACAAGGAGCAGCATCCATTGTAATTGATTTAACCAGCATTTGAAATAAATTAAAACCACTGCAGTAGTCTAAGGTCCCATAAATCATCACATTGTATACACAGTGTATAGAACGTGAGGACACAGAGGGACATACCATCACTGCAGAATAGGAGGAGACTGGAGGGAGTGCTGTGACAGCCAGCTGGCTCCGAGGATCAGGTGAGTATAACTTTGTTATTTTCCTCCCTGGACCCAATTGAGCAGATAATCCTTGCAATGCAGGGGATAGCCCCACTGCAAGGGTTAATAATACTTTTCCCTGGAGTTCTACTTTAACATAATTTTTATCTACAAAACACTAATAATTTGATACACTATTGGCACCACTGTTACATTATCCCGTACAAACATTCACGATGCGGAAGCAGTACTTTCATAGTTTAGTGATATAGATATTCATTCTTGTTCTCTCCGAGCCCCAATGAAGGGGGTATTTGTATGAGCCCCTAAAATTCGTTGGCTATTTCTATACAGTCCCCTTAACCCTATGTTCATTAAAGTGGACCTTTACCCGCTTTGGCTAAAAATCACATCACCATACAACTCTGCATGCTGATATGAAATCATCTGACATTCATTAGCTAAACAAACATATTTTTATTTTCCCATTTTTATTTTTTCCCCCCACTTCCTGGTCCAATTTGGCACAAATAATGTAATGTACCCAAGCGTTGCATCTTGGGAAGGTTACATCAGCAGAGGATTGCTGGAAAATATCATCTGTAATCTCATGAGATCCCAGGGAAAGGCATTTTCCTCCCCTGAGATGATGTGCATGGTCACATGTTCTAGCACATGTGCCAGAGTTCCAGGAAGTAAAGGGAGTTTGATTAATCTGCCCTTAGTAAAAATGGCCACTGTGAGAAGAATGGAGAGGGAAAGAAAAACAAGGTATGCAAAGAATAAAAAGCTGGCAAATATCTATAAGTATCTCTTTGTACAGGATCAGCAGGGGCTAGCTGTGGGAATAGCGTTCTCTTTAGGCTTTTCTTCTTTTGTTGTTTTTTGTTTTCCTCCATATCTCCATAGGTTGAACTCAATGGACTTGTGTCTTTTTTCAAATTGACTAACTAACTATGTACTTTGTCAATACTAAACATTTCTAGAGGCGCCTTTGTTGTTATTTTAACCACTTGAAGACCAGGTGTTTACACCCCCTTCCTGGCCAGGCCATTTTTCAGTATTCAGCGCTGCAGTACTTTGATTTACATTTATTCCGTCATACAACGCTCTACTGAAATGAATTTTTTACCCTTTTTTTGGGACAGATAGAGCTTTCTTTTGGTGGTATTTAATCACCACTGGGGTTTTTATTTTTTACTATATAAAGAAAAAAATACAGATTTTTTTTAAAAAAACTGTTTTCCTTAAATTATGTTAATGAAACATTGCAAATAAATAATCTTTCTTTGTACATTTAGGCCAAAATGTGTTCTGCTACATTTCATTGGTAACCGGGTTGTGATCGCGCCGGGAGCGCGCCTGAGCGGGGGGCGGGGCGGGACGTCTAGAGACGCCCGTTTAGATCGAGGAAGGTCCTGGCCGGCCGTTTTTCTACTACGGCCGGCCCGGAGGCAGTTAAAGATATGGGTAAAGATCCTCTTTAAAGATGTATCTGGAGTATTAACCTCCCTGGCGGTAATCCCGAGTCTGGCTCGGGTTGAATTTTCAATGCTAGGAGCGGTAACCCCAAGCCAGACTCGGGGCTGCAGAGAAAAGTGACACTCACCTTGTCCCTGCGAGCCCGCGGCGTCCTCTGCTGTACGCGGCCCGAAAATGAAACTAAAAGCCGGCATCTGACTCTTAGTTTCGTTTTCGGGCGTCACAGCAGGCGGGAAATTCAAAAGTGAAAAGTTGCACTATACACAGAATACAAACAATACAATGTAATCTGCTATGATTACACTTATGTATCAAACTATTGTACCGCTTTTGGTACAAAATTCCTGACATAATCATACCGCCAGGGAGGTTAAAGGTGTGGCTCTTCAATTCACAATACTGTTAGAACATAAGCACTGTAGCACACAAGCACTGTAGCACAACAGTGCCCCTTTGTTCCTCTCTCCTCCTTACCATTCACAAAACACACAGACATAAACTCCATTTTTTTAATTGGCCTGGAGAGTGGGGGACTGAGGGCAGGGGTCTATGAGACTTGTAGCGCTTACATCGCAGCTGGCATGGAAGTACAGCAGTACTGTAATGTAAAAGAACAGATTGATAGCTGTAGAATAAAGCCAGCAGGACGGGGGGTTTACTTTCTGCCAATAGAATGTAAAACTACTGTCATATTAGTGAGTTTTCTGTGCTTGGAGAGGTCTTTACTTTTCATCATGCACCAAAAACTGAGCTATTAGTCTGGGTGGGCTGAGCCATTAGATTCCTATGTGCTTTTGTAGAGATGGAAAATTAATTAAATACTGTATTACAGATGCTCCTTATATTATTTTTCCATTATGCAAATCAAAGTATTAGATCAGTAGGAGATTATTTCCAAATAGCCTCTGTTACTAGACTTTGTACACTGCTTTTCGCCTGACTTAAGTGGGTCGTTTCACTAAGAGAAATTAGTAATTAGTCGTTACAATAGAAGGCCGACATTGCTAACCACATTGTGAAAATGCTAGCTGCCTGTCTGTCTCTGGTTTTCTCTCTATGTTATTGATATGAGGAAAGGGGTAGGAGTTTGTAGTCCAAGTTAGATCAGCCTATGGTGACAAAGCTCCATCCCACCTCCATTTATTCAGTACATTGAGTGAGCGTTGCCACCCTAGGCACTGGCAGGATCACTAGGTGAAAATAAAGGAATAAAAATCCTTAAAAAAAGAAAACGAATGCAGAAACTGTTTCTACGTATTGATAAGCTGACATATAATATATTTATGTAGTTGGGTTTAGATATGCTTTAAAGTAATTTGATCTGCATGGCAGTCAGGATATTCTACAACAGCATCACAAGTGTAAAAAGATAACATTGAAGTCCACATTGCTGGTTTGTGCTGCTTCCTTCACATGTGACAGATTCACTTTGCTTTAATTTTTTTACCCTCCTACCACATAATTACCTGCCCAGCGAATCCAACGCTGTCTTGCTGTGATCCGCTGCCACATCCCAGGTCCCATCTTGGTGCTTCTAGTCATTGAGAGTTGGCTGCCGCTTCTGGGTTCAAGCAGCCAGGCCCCCAGGCATAAATCAGATCCAGTCACCGGCCGCTGTGTGTTCCAATATAGTGGACTGAAGGTCTGCCTTAATAGCCATATGGTCATTTTTTTGTTCACCTCACTATGTGTGATAAGGACCACAAGTGGATTCATATGTTCTATCCCACTCCTAATAACAATATCAGTGTATAAGTTTGTAAACTTACCTACTGAAGATGCCCGTAGGATGTACTTCCTCAATAGACTGACAAAATTGTGAATATCCACTCCGCAACTCTCACAAAATCTGCCTTCTAAACTACATATCAGTGTCTGAACTGATGTAACATCATCATTGCTTGCTGGAAGCAATGCATCATGGGCCGTGTAA